GATTCGAACCCGCCACCTTAGGTGTACGTGGCTGGCGCCTTAGCCGGTTGAGCTATAGGCGCCGAGCCAAGTTCATGGTTTTTAAAGAAAGGAAATCAGGCTGGGCATGATGTCTCATGCCTGTAATCCTACTACTCGGGGAGGCCCAGGTAGGTGGATTACTTGAGCTCAGGAGTTTGAGACCAGCCTGAGCAATAGCAAGCTCCCATCTCTACTAAAATATAAACATTAGCCAGGCGTGGTGGCAGGGGTGGCATATAGTCTCAGCTATTCTGGAGGCTGAGGCATGATGATTGCTTGAGGCCAGGAGTTTGAGGTTGCTAAGAGCTGGGCAACAGAGTGAGACTCTGTCTCAAAAAATAAAATAAAAAATATTTTAAAAAGGAGGCTGGGCGAGGTGGCTCATGCCTATAATCCTAGCACTCTCAGAGATCTAGGTGGGTGGATTGTCTGAGCTCACATGTTTGAGACCAGCCTGAGCAAAAGCAAGACCTTGTCTCTAAAAATACTCTGTAGTGGTGGGCACCTGTAGTCCCAGCTACTCAGGAGGCTGAGGCAAGAGAATTGCTTGAGCTCAATCACTTGAGCCCAAGAGTTAGAAGTTCCTGTGAACTATGATGCCACAGCACTCTACCAAGGGCCACAAAGTGAGACTCTGTCTCAAAAATAAAGAAAGAAAGGAAACCAGAGTTTAACCTCTGAGAGGTTGTGAGGTGAGGTAAAATACCAGCAGAAGTTAAAAGTGGGTGGTAGTTTACTTTGATAGGTCTCCCTAAAGTAAATCTCTGATGTGGGGGTACATTATTGGTTAACAGTCCTGCTCTAGGTGTTACAATTATTAATGATTTCTTTATTAATTTTTGTATTTTCCAGAATTTTATAATAAACATGTATTACCCTTGTAATTAGAAAAAAAGGTTTACTTTAAAAAGGACTTTTTTTTTTTTTTGCAGTTTTTGGCTGAGGCTGGGTTTGAACCCACTACCTCCAGCATATGGGGCCTGCGCCCCACTCCTTGAGCCACAGGTGCTACCCAGGATTTTTTTTTTTTTAATGTTTCTTTTTGACTTGGCATCATCCAGTTAAGGCTACTGTAACTTGGTGGAAGGGGGAATGAGGTGTGCTGGCAGTGCATGTCAAGACTCAAATGGAATAACTCTATTTCTCTGGCTAGATAACTAAGAAACCTCAGTATCTTCAGGAGAGCCAGGAGATTGTGCAGGCCCTGCAGCAGGCCAGGAATGTCTTGGTGAGTGTTGATTGACCATTATACCACCTTTGGTCCTCCTTTGAATATCAGGAATAGAAAATCTTGGGTGGTTAGTATGGTCAGCTGTGGCAGTGAAGGGAGTTTTCCAACCCTTTGTTAAATACATCTTCTTAGGAGCTTGGAATTGGGGTTAGTGTCCTACTTTAGTGCCCCTACTTCCTGCTTAGTGACTTTATCTCAGGGGTCCTCAAACTTTTTAGATAGGGGGCCAGTTCACTGTCCCTCAGACCATTGGAGGGCCAGACTGCAGGCCCCGGGACAAGTTGGCTGCTAAGCAGGACAGGCAGCAGCAGCAAAAACACCGGGCAGGCTGGATAAATGTCCTAGGCGGAGCCACATGTGGCCGGTGGGCCATAGTTTGAGGATGCCTGCTTTATTTGATCTAGCCTAGCCTTCTTTCCCTCTACAGCAATCATGGGTGCTAGTCTCTAAAGAGCTGATAACATTGCTTCACTTGTCCCTGTTGCACTTAGAAGAAGATAAAACTGCTGTGAGTCAGGAGGTAAGCAGCATGAAGACAGAGGTACAGGCCTCTGGTGGGAATGAAAGCCAGGAAGAGGAACACAGCATCTGATTCTTATCTTCTAGTCTCGGAGAGGAGAAACCCTGGTCTCCTGCTGTTTTGATATGTTGAAGAAATTGAGGGCAAAGCTCCAGAACCTCAAAGCAGAAAGGGAAGAGGCAAGGCACAGAGAGGAAATGGCCCTCAGAGGCAAGGATGTGGTAAGATGCCAGGTTTCTGTTTATGGATGGGCAGTTTCCACTTCAGGGTTCCTGCAGGAACAATGATACAAATGCACATGTGACACAGATGGATGGCCTGAGAACTGCCTGCTCTGGGGAATAAAAGACTAAATTACCAGGGTGTCAGATAGTGATAGCTTTTTGTGCTGTTCTCCCATTGCCCATTGGGTCCTTGAAACCTTTCCTTTTCCCTCAACAGGCAGAGACAGTGCTAGAGGCTTTCTGTGCCCATGCCAGCCAGCGCATCAGCCAGCTGGAGCATGACATGGTATCCATGCGGGAATTCAAAAAGCTTCTGAAGGAGACCCAGACCCAACTGGTAATTGAAGGGCATTTTCTTTCCTGGGGTCCATGCTGATACACTGGGAGGATGGTCACATAAACTTACTTTGCTATAGCCAAAAGGAGGTGGCTCCCTCCATAGACAATCCTTCTCTCATAGGTAGAACTTTATACAGAGCAAGAAGAGCTGGCTCAGCAGACAGTGAGTCTTACTTCTACTTTCCAGCAGGACTGGATATCCATGCAACTGGATGTGAGTGTGTTGGGCCATCATGACCACTTCTGTACTCTCAGCCAGTCCTGTTAGGAGTTTTGCCTCAAGTGTGTGCTGTTGACCCTCTTGCTTCCCCTGATAGTATAAAACATGGACAGCTTTGCTGAGTCAATCTCGAGAACTCACGGAGAAACTCACAGGCAAGAGCCGGCAGGCTGTGCAGGAACGTGACACTGCAGTTGAGGAAAAGCAACAGGTACAAACCAGGAGTGGGAACTGCTTAGGTCTTATTCCTTTGCAGACGACCTTTCTAAGGTGTGATGGCATTAGCCTTTTACCCTATAGACCTGTCTTCTTTCCACCCTTTGGGTTTGGAGACCAGCTGGGTCCCTTAGCTGTAAGATGGCTTTAAGCCCAGTTGTTTCCTTTGCCCTTCAGCACCTTCTTTACTTCTGCCACTTTTTTCCTGTCACTACTTTTTCCTGAGGATCAACTTTATTTTCTACAGTGCTGCTGCCCAGGAGCAAGGTAGTTTGCTATCTTGTTCATAAAGAAAAGCTGGACTGAGTCCTGGGGTTCTTGATTCAGGAGAAACTATGGAAGAAAAACTATCTTTTCTTCCCAGGTTTCCAAGGAGCTGGAACAAATTTCTGCTCATTTAGAGGACTGCAAAGGCCGAATAGAACAACTGGAGTTGGAAAACAGTCGCCTAGCAACAGGTTTTTGTGTGTGTGTGTGTGTGTGTGTGTGTGTGTATGTGTGTGTATGTATGCGTGTAAGCCATTGAGTCTGCTAAGGCTTGACGTGTGGCAGTAGATCAAGGAAGTGCCCTGGAGTATCTGCTTTGGAGCAGAAGTTTGGGGGAGTTTCTGGCCTGGTGACTGCATGGTGTCATTAGGTTACTTTTGGTCTAGATCTCCGGGCTCAGCTGCAGATTCTGGCCAGCACAGACAGCCAGCTAAAAGAGCTACAGAGTCAGCATGCCCATTGTGCTGAGGACCTGGCCACGAAGGATGAGTTGCTCTGCCAACTTAACCACAGTAATGAGGAGCAGGCTGCTCAGTGAGTTCTTACCAGGTTATTGTGGCAGTAGGCACCCAAGATTTAGGAACAAATGGGATCTAATATGTAGTCTTTGGCAGATGGCAGAAGGAAGAGATGGCACTAAAATGCATGCAGGCAGAACTGCAGCAACAACACGCTGTCCTGGCAAAAGAGGTGCGGGACCTGAAGGAGACCTTGGAGGTAAGGAATATGGCTTGGGGCAGTGGTGTTGGTAAATCTCAGGAGTGTGACCTCCTGGTGGTATTTGGGTGAGGTTTGCGAGGGAAATGGAAAAAGACTCTGTCCCCAGGGCTCTAAAATTCCTCAAGTGTACTTATTTTCTCCCTCCCTCTCTTGTTCCTTCCTTCCTTTCCTTCTGTCTCCCCAGTTTGCAGACCAGGAGAATCAGGTTGCTCACCTGGAGCTGGGCCAGGTTGAGTGTCAGTTGAAAACCACACTGGAAGTGCTCCGAGAGCGCAGCTTGCAGTGTGAGAACCTCAAGGACACTGTAGAGAACTTAATGTAAGATGTGTACCTTTCTGTGCTTCCCCTAAGTGAACTTTCTCCAGGACACTTCTAGAAGCTAGAGTCACCAGGAAGAGAACTGTGATAGAGTGGAACCTCTTTTTCCCTTTCCTTGAGTGCAGCTGTGTGTGGGGATTTGGGAGTGGCGTCCAGAGGAGGTAATCTGGTCTTTGGCTATCTTCCTTGTTCCTTATCTCAGGGCTAGACTGGCCAGCACCATAGCAGAGAACCAGAAGCAAGACCTGGAGAAGACACACCAGTATTCACTACAGCTAGGGGTGCTGACTGAACAACTACAGAGCCTGGCCCTCCTCCTACAGACAAAAGTAATGGAGAAACTAGGATCCTGGGGTTTCTTCTCTTCCTTTCAAATTGTATCTCTATCGTATAGAATGGTCTTTCTAAACTCTACTTTTGTTCCATTACTGTGGCCCTCAGTGACTTTCAGTTACCTACTGACAGGCCCTCTTCAGACTGTTCCTCAAGCCTTTCTTTACCTATTAGAAACCCTTTACTCCCACCGGGCGCAGTGACTCATACCTGTAATCCCAGCACTTGGGAGGCCGAAGTGGGTGGATGCTTGAGCTCAGGAGTTCAAGACTAGCCTGAGCAAGAGTGAGACCCCATTTCTAACAAAAATACCTGGGTGTTGTGGTGGGCACCTATAGTCTCAGCTGCTTGGGAGGCTAAGGCAAGAGAATTGCTTGAGCCCAAGAGTTCGAGGTTGCTGTGAGCTGGAACACCAAGGTACTCTACCCAGGGAGACAAAGTGAGACTCTGTGAAAAAAAAAAGAAAGAAACCCTTTACTCCCAACTAGACTGCTTAAATGTTGCACACGTCCCATCTTCATTTACCCAGACTTAGGCTGTTCCCACATCTGTGCTCTTCTCTCTCCAAACTAGAAATACCTTTTCCTTTGCTATTAAAATTCTTCCTGTTCACCTTCTTTTCTAAAACGTTCTCAAATCCTATGGAGTCAATGATCTCTTCTTCTGCTATGTTCTTTTTTTTTTTTTGAGACAGAGCCTCAAGCTGTCCTCCTGGGTAGAGTGCTGTGGCATCACAGCTCACAGCAACCTCCAACTCCTGGGCTCAAGCGAGTCTCCTGCCTCGCCTCCCAAGTAGCTGGGACCACAGGCGCCCGCCACAATGCCTGGCTATTTTTGGTTGCAGCTGTCATTGTTGTTTGGTGGGCCAGGGCTGGATTCGAACCGGCCACCTTAGGTGTATGTGGCTGGTGCCTTAGCCACTTGAGCCACAGGTGCCGAACTGCTATGTTTTTTATGAACTTACTCTTCTTTTGTACTTAAATTAATTTTTCCTGGATATCTGGTCTCTTCAAACTGTGTTTAAAGAAAACAAAAATTAGCCTTGCTTCTTTGGCTTCCCCACAGCACACAATAAATAATAAATGGTTGATGTTATTCAGAATACACAGTTAATGAGCTTATTCAACAGATAACGGTACTACCAAGATCCTGAGATTTGGAAATGTTTATCATCTGATCCTCTTTCCCAACTGTCTGTAGGTCATTGGAAATCCTGGGTTCCAATGAACCTATAGTCTAGCAGGAAAGACAGACGGATATAACTTGTTATCTTGATTTAAGATCCTACTAGAGGTCTGCATGAACCACCTGTGGGAGCACAGAGAAAGGAGATTGCTTTTTCCTTTGAAAGTTAGGATGTCTTCTCAAAACAGGTGACCTTGATATAATCTTGAGGTTTCAAAGTTTGTAGGATTGGCTCAGCACCTCTGTAGCACAATGGTTATAGCACGGGCCACTTACACCGAGGCTGGTGGGTTTGAACCCAGGTCAGGCCAGCTAAACAATAATGACAACTGTAACAAAAAGAATAGCTGGGTGTTGTGGTGGGTGCCTGTAGTCCTAGCTACTTGGGAAGCTGAGGCAAGAGAATCACTTGAGCCCACGAGTTGGAGGTTGCTGTGAGCTGTTATGTCACAGCGCTCTACCAAGGGCGACAAAGGGAGACTCTGTCTAAAAAAAAAAAAATGTTGTAGGCTAGGGGTAGGTGTATAGGAAGGCCCACCAGGCAGAGGGAATAGTGTATGAAGTTTTAGTCTGACTACATGTGAAAGTCCTATGTAGGAAGTCATACACATAGAACATTATGTGTACTTTTTGTAGCGTCTACCTTGTGACCTGGGTTAGGTGCCGGGACTACAGTATAAACAAAGCAAGGCCCCACTCATGGAATGTGGCAAGGCTGGGGAGTGAGAAAGTAGCTCTTTATGACTAGAGTGTAGGATGTATGTGGGGCAAGGCAGGAGGCCAGATGTTGAAGGCTTGAACTAGTGGCAGTTATAGAGAAAGTAGAGAAGAGGGGGATAGATTGAATGGATTCATTACATATTTAGGAGGTAGAAGTAGTAGAACCAGGACTAATTTGATGTAAGAACAAGGTAGAAGAGTGAATGTTGATCCCTAGATTGCTAGAAAGATAGCGACATACTCCTCTAGAACTGGGGTTGGCAAACGTTTCCTGTAAAGGGCCATATAATAAGTATTTTGGCTTCAAACGCCATATGTCCTCTGTCTTAAGTACTCTGCCTTTGTAGCTCAAGAATAGCCAGAGACAATATGTAAATAAATGGGTGTGGCTGTGTGCCCATAAACCAGATTTGACCCACAGGCTGCCATTTGCTCTCTCTGCTCTAGAATAGTACATACAGGAGTAGGAACATATTTTTGATAGGGTAAGAGGAAAAAAGTGAACTGATATATTTACACATGTACATACTAAGTTACAGGTAAACTGCATAACATTCTGTAGATTTTTTTCCACAGGCAGTTAGCCTTTGGGTCTGGAAACTGGGAAAAAACCCAGTTGAGAGAGAGCGATTGAAGAGTTATTCATGTGTAAGTAGAAGCTTGAAGTGGGTGTTTTTGTGAATCTCCGGATGTGAGGTCACCCTGGAAATGGGCTAATGTGAGAAGAAAGCCAAGGACTAAACCCAGAGGGGTCCAGCAGTTAAGGAAGGACCTGTGGACAGATGAAGAAACAGCCAGAAAACAGGCTTACCTTTGAAGGAGGGGGGGAATCATGTCCTGGAAGCTTAAGAAAAGGAGGCTTCTCAAAGAATAACATAGAAAAAAAATAAAGAAAAAAAATACCCAAGTAAAAAGATGGTCATCAGTATCAAACAGGTCAGGTAAAATGAGAGCTGGAAAGTGTCCATTACATTTGAAAGTAAGGATGCCATTGGTGAACCAAAATGACAAGAATTTTGGTAGGATGGCATAACAAACCTGAGTGGTGAGAATTGTAGGCAAGATGTATAGCCTTTCTTTTTCTTTCTTCTTCTTCTTTTTTTTTTTTTT